GGCGGGCCCAAGAAGCCGCTCCCGACCCGCCTGGTAAATCCTGCCCAGAAGGGACTCGGAGGAGGCGGCAGTGCCAGGTCCCGAGCTCGTGATTTATCGGTAACGTCACGCCGAGCTGGCTGAGAGGCTGAATCCCTCCTCCCAGCAGAGCGCTGAAGCACCGGGTGTGCAAACCCCAGGAAACAGCAGCACTGAGGAAGCCACTACTCCCAGTAGAAGAGAAAGCCTGTAATTAGCCCAGGACATGTGAACAGCTGTCTTTGCTAGGGTCATTGCAGAGGTCTTCAATGACCAAGGGTTTAGCGATGACTCTGCCTTTAAGCACGGTTTGGAAGCTGCCCAGCCCGGCTCTGAATGTGCTTGTGCACCATGTGTGTGAGAAGCATCATTCCACAAACTGCACCAGATTCCCTCTCTAAGGATGGGACTTGCCTCGTGGACCACAACCCCCAGTGCAGGAGGGAGCCAAAGCAATGAGGGGAACGAGACTTACCCGGGCAAAGAAACTGTGCGGTTACTTCTCGCACGGTGCTTTCAACCTCCAGAGCGTTTGAGCTCCACCCAAACACAAGGTCTTGCTCTACCATCCAGCACGACCGAACTTTCTCAATCTGCTCCGCTCCGAGGACGTTCTGCCAGATGTGCAAGTCGGTGATGTTCCCACTGAAGGACTCTTTCTCCATGAAGGTGCCCCCCAGGGAGTCTTGATCCTGCCCAATTATGAAAATCCCCTGGCCGTAGATGGCCAGGGGGGCAGACGGTCCCACAGCCCACAAACCGCTGGCAGACGCCCTCCTTTTACCATCGGCATAGATGGCCCAGGTCCCGTTCTCCTGCTGCCAGGTCACGCAGAAGTGGTGCCACTGCCCGTCAGCGCGGAACACGGGCAGGTATGGGGAATGGTGCTCGTGGACTATGAGAGCAAATCGAACAAAGCCTTCCTCATCCACAAAGCCACGGAGCTGGAACTCATTAATAAAAGCCGGAACAGCATAGGAGAAGATGGTAGCAATCTCCTGGGTCCTGGTGTCCCACTGGAGGTGGGCGCAGGCTGTGACAGCAGGCAGTGCTGGGAAGTCAGCGAGCACCTTCACGTATTTTGTATCTGTTTTGTCTTCGAATACCAGGACTGGTACAGTGTGGTACCCTGGAAGGAGAAAATTTCAGCCAGCAAAAAGGAAGAAGCATGGGCCAAAGCCTGCTCGTCTTCCACTGTGATGAAACCATCATTTTCATTGCTCTGTACTCAAGCTAAGAACTCAGGGACCCTGCAGGCAAGGACATCCTCTAAGCATGCAGCAAGGCTTCTGCTTGCCCCGTGCCTGGAGGGGATCAGGAAGGCAGGCAAGCTGAGACTGCATCATTGCAGCAAGTGTAATTTCCAGAAACTTCGTTTTCTAGCAAATAGGATTGCAAACAAAGAATCTGGAAGAAACGTTCCAAAGCATCCCATGCTACAGCAGCCAAGAGCATAGTCAAATAACACTTGTGAGGCATCTGCCACGCGGTGCCTTGCTGCTGGGGAACGCCCGTTCTCCTGGTCCTGTCTCTAACGTCATTGCTCTGCAGGACCCGCAGGTCTCAAATGGTGAGGCTGAGCGAAGCCAGACCTGCTTTACATGGAGATGGCACAGCAGGGCAGAGCAGAGGAGCCCCTTTGCAACTCCCTTCTGCTGCCATGCCTTAAAACATCTTGACAGTGACTGGGCAGCGGATGAGGAGGGATCACTGCTGCTCATGCTGCCAGTTCCAGCTTGTGACTGGAGGTCCTAGGTGTTACCACTGTGACAACAAAAAACGAGTGGCAACTTTTCCAGTCAGTTTAATTTTTCAGAATGAAAAAGATCCATAGAATCTTTAAGAATAGAATCATTAAGGCTGGAAAAGACCTCTAAGATCATCTAGTCCAGCTGTCAACCCATCACCACCACGCCTGCTAAACCATGTCCTGAAGTGCCACATCTACACATTTTTTGAACACCTCCAGGGATGGGGACTCCACCACTTCCCTAGGCAGCCTGTTCCAATGCCTGACCACTCTTTCAGTAAAGAACATCTCTCCAAATAGTCCAAGCCCGCTTATACTCACGTCTCCATTTTGGTTTGTGCAGGACACCATCCCTTTCGTTTAGCCAGACAGAACCTCTGATGTGGTGGGACTGCAGCAGCTTGCTAAAGGAGGCTTGCTCACTGTCTTGGGGTTCAAAAAGCAACTGAGCAAAGTGTTGTTCACAGTATCTGTCCGCATGCCACCAGTCCAAAGCAGTGGCCACATATTCGTACATGTGTCTTGAGGTCTCAATCGTGACAGGAGCAAAACCTGGAGAAAGACACACACACAATGTGGAGAAACAGCAAGCCTCTCCAGCCCAGTTTCGTGCCACACACACTACAGGGCCAGCCTCTTGCCGCATCCCCAAGCGTTTACAAGCACTGCCTGGTGCACCCCGGAAGAGCTGAAGGCAGGAGCTCGTTTCTGTATCCAGCCCTCGGGACGTTCAGTGGGTGCAGTGTGACAGAAAAGTCCAGGCTGTCTTGGACCTACAGTGAGGGACATCTGTGAGTCTGCTGACAAAGCGAATCGCTGGCCTCGGGCTGGAGCTGTGCACCCTGCTGGGGGACACCCAAAACCTTGCTGAGCTCAGTCCAAAGAAAAAGCTTACTGTGGCATGCCCAGGCACTGCCCTCAGGGTAGCTTGTTCAAAGTAGTTATGTACCAGCAAATTTTCTCATTTTATCCCCATCTCTGAGCTCCTACCAGCTTCTGCATTTGCAGATGCAATTTGCAACCACAAAACAGTCTGTTTTGTTCGCAGTTACAGTGGCGCAGAGACCAGCAGCTGAGCAGTACTTACCTGATTTTAGACAGTAATTTCATAGCTAGCCAAGCAAATACTTAGCTATGAAAATATAATTTCAGCCACAAAACAGAATATCAGAAAAAGTTTCTTCCCCTTTGTTTCTGCCACCGGACACCTTTTTATGCATTGTTTCTCTGTGCTGAATATTGCTTGTAAAAACATACAGAAGAGCTGACAAAAACACTAACCTTTAAAAGTCTGATTCTTGGCAAGGGCTGCAAAGGCAAAGAGACTCCTGGACAGACTGCCGACCTGGTGGAGAGGATGTTTGGTGACATTCATATAAAGCATCATCTCAAATACTCAAATTCTTAAAATTACTGTAAAGCTCACCAGAAAGCTGAAGAACCAAGAATCAGGTCTCAGGTCTCTCCTAAACATGCTGACCAGCTGGAAAGCTTTCACCCTTTGCTAGAATAAACAAAATATTACTAGAGATGCATTGCAGAGACAGAAGCATTCTGCAGGCAGCTAGTTCTCAGACAAGGCTGCTTTCCTCTGAAACGCTTGAATCAAGAAAGAGGAAACAACTTTCTCTGAAATATTGGCCCTGGGTAGTATCCTATCAAAATAATTCTCAGTAAGAAGTCAAGGTCTCAGCTTAACATATGTTTCCAGGACACAGAATAATTAAACGTAAAACATATACAGATGTGCGACATAAATCGACAAACAAGTTAGCAGAGCCTCTTTATCTGCATCAACTAAATAAAAAAGCCATCATAAATTGCATTGTTAAACAGTGTCACACCACTGGCAGCTTTCCTCCTTTCTTGTGAAGCCCGCAGGAACACAGCACCAGAATGGATCCTGCAGACCAGTACACCCAGCCTCCCCGGGCAGCGCCTGAACACACAGCTCGGTGCCACGGAGCCGTCCCAGAGCTGCCCAACGCCAGGGCGCTGCCGCGGCACTCGGCCTCGGTGGAAGGAAACCCTGAGTGCATGGCCCTATAAAATCTAGTGAAGTCGCAGATAAGGGTATGTAGAGATGCAAGCACGGAAACTGGCAACGTGATCTCCAGTGCAAACAAACCCTAAAGCTGTCTCTCGGCACTGACACTGCCGGCCGTGAATAATCTCTTTGCTCTCCACGGGGCTCTCCCGCGTGCCCAGTAAAAGCACACACTTAAGCACTTTGCTGCTAAGGGACTATGGAGACCAGTCCTGAAACCCGGACTCTATAAACACGTTCACAAGCAGCCTTCCCAAGTTCAGCAGTGACTTTAAGAACCCAGAACACAGCTCCAGGCCCCCCAGGGAGAAGCATGGGCGGCTCTGCGCTCATCGGACTGGTGGCACCTCCAGCTGCCCGCTTCTCCAC